GTTTGTCATGGTTTTGATTTTAGAGCAATCACCTTATGAGCTAACTTTTGAAGTTTAGTTAAGCCCCAAGTCTATTTTATTAATATGGTATCAGTGTTAGACGCATCCCTATTCTTGTATTTCGAAATGTTGGACTTCCATGGTATGTTATCCAAGCTCCAATTGTCAGTTCTGGGGAGGAGGAAGGGGTTAAGTGTCCCATATTGGTTGAGTAATGAATTTGTTTATCTCCTTACATTATCTTAGCAATATACTCGCCTTATGAGCTAACTTTTGGAGTTGCGTTTGTCCCAAAGTCCATTTTTTTTTAAAAATCCCCATTAAGGAATCCTGGTTTTGTTTTGCTTATATAATGTATGTTTTTCGTGTAATGATACGTAATGTATAACTGACCTCAACTATTTTGGGATTGAGGTAAGTTAATTGATCGCAAATGTTTTACTATTTGCTGTTTGGGAAATGATTTAAGGTTTTGAGCCTATCACTGCTCTTTTGCATGTATTGTTTTCTCACTGCACTATTTTTTTGGTAGGTAAAAGATGGTATCTTTCTCTACTATCAGCTCTGTATAAGAGTTTGTTGTAATCCCAAATTCCTCAGCAACACATTGTCTTTAGATCCAGTAACTACAGTAGATCCATTCATATAGCATCAATGTGCATATTAGATCTATCCTGAAAGTATCCTAAGTAGCCAATAACCATTGTCAACCAATTCCAAAGTGCTTCATCAAAGACACTGAAAGCCACCTCTGATGATGATTCTCCTGCCGTCCTCTCTCGAGTCTTTCTGTTTCTTGATTTTGCAAAAAACAATTTTTCTCCTTCAAGAATGAAGAATCCAGAATCAAGAACTTGTATGGCTTAATAAACTGTACTATAAGTCCTTCACTTTTTCCTTAATGGGGTTGGAATAGAGTTGAGGCGGGTGGTGGGCATGTGCAAATGTATAGTGAAGTTTGTAGATGGATGCATCTAGTGCTTTCCGCTCGAGCTACATATGTAAATAGTACATAGTAATAACAATAGTTTAACCTCGATTCCAAACTAGTTGGATGACTTATGAATCCTCTCTATCTGTTAACTCCCATTCTGTCTATTTCACTCCAATACTTGATAATTTGTGATTAGGAATCTAAAACATGAGATTCTCTATATCTTTCACCTATCGCTATGCTATATCTATAACCAAATTGACCTAATGCGAGGGTATTAAATACTTATGAGTACTAACTTTAATGTCAATTAGTTAATATTGATACTTTGTCTCCATTATCTGTTCTTTGAACTACATTTGTATAGTTCAAATTTAAAAATATATGTGATTAGAAGTTTGCACCCAAAGAAGTAGTAAGTAGAGTGGTACTCTGCACCCAAGGACTTAACATGTAGATTCACCTATGGTGTGATTTGGAGAGAGAAAGTGAAGGGGCTGGTTTGTTGCATTTGTGGTGGTTTCAATATTTTGATTGTATGAATGGTTTTGGTATGTTGGGAGATTATTTAAAGGGGAAAATAATCTTGAAATGCAATTTTCCTGCTATCCATTAAGGAATTTTGAATTTCATTTTTGGTTATGTAATGTATGTTTTTCATGTATTATCATTGCCAAGATCAACTAGTTTGGGTTTGAGATGAAACCGAGTGATTGCAATTTACTCATTTGCTGATTGGAAAATTGATAAAGCTCTGGTTCCGGTTCCCATGTGACTAGCTATCATTGTGCATTTTCATGTCTTGTTTTCTCACTGCAGTCTGATTTCGTAACTTCCTCTACTACTTGCTCTATGTCTCTACAGCTGCTCGTAACTGCAGTTGATCTATATCTATTTTTCTATAACATCAAGGTGTGTATTAGATCTCTAGTGAAAGTATGCTAAATAGCTATTCCCAAAGACTTGAGCGCCATGTAATTATTGGTTGACTACTGCCTAATGATGTTTGAATCAGATTTTCATGTTTTAAAAGACTCCTAAAACTTACTACAAATTTTCTTCCTTTCGTCTTGTAGAAGCTGCAGCATATGGTGAAGATGGTGAGAATGAGGTTGGTTGGTTCAGTTTTTTCGGATCATAAACTTGGTCAATAAAAGTTGAAATTTTGTTACTTATCTGTGCTCAAGAAACTGAAACTCTACTTTTAGTCCATTGACGAGAAAGCTCGGAAAGCTCTAGAATGCCCTTGCATTGCTCATTTGCGTGCTGGCCCTTGCGGCAACCAGTTCTCAGACGCTTTCCTCTGTTTCCTCAAAAGCACAGCTGAAGAAAAGGTAACTGCGTTTGAATGCTCCTTCCTTTTTTATTGTTTTTATCATTTGTCTATACTCTATCACGTTCATCTCCGGTAGAGAGAGCTGTTATATATCTTGTTTCATCTGATTTTATTTCTCCGAGCCGATATTCTTGTATGAACTTCAGCTTACTAAGTGCCCACATAAGTTGTATCATGGTAAATATTGGTTAGGTTATTCAGCTAGATATGTACCTATTTATATGTTCAATAAAACGATTAAGATTATGCATTTTTCCTTTTTTTTGGAAAGGTAGATCAAATTTAAGTAATGTGTTTCAAGAGGGCGGCTACTTTTTTTTTTGATAACCGAGAAATTCATCTGTGACCCGGCCTTTGGACCAATCACAACGTTCTAAACTCGGTGGATAATGGGCCCGCCCCTCTACCCTTCTCCACTTAAATACCGGGCTTCGCTTTGCATGGTGTGGGACTTCAACCTGCGACCTAAGCCACAAATCCTCCACCTTTTGCCACTTGAGCTAGGCCTTGGGGGCGGCTGCTTTTCTTTTTTCTGCTTGAGAGAATTTCAAGTTTCCTTTCTCCATAGTGTAGAACAAGTTATTTATATGAATGCCACTAGACCAGACCAAACATTGATGATCATTCTTGACCTTAGAATTTGGAGTCCATAGTTACATCAACAACAACATCCGCAGTATAATCCCAACAAGTGAGATCTGAGGAGGATAGAGTATACGCAGACCTTACCCCTACCTTGTAGGATAGAGAGGTTGTTTCCGATAGACCCTCCAAAGTTGATGTCCAAAAATTTGGTTACTTGTGGTAAATAGACTTTGATGTAATGTAACAAACAAGATCAGAAAGCTTTGTTATCTTCTCTTCATTCATACACAACATCAAAAAGAAAAGAATATATGTTGAACAGAAAATGATGAAAATTGTGTTTCCATTTTTCCTTTTCATCCTTCTAACTAACATGTGAAATGTTTGTATTTCCCACTGTAGGGCTCTGACTGTGTTAGTCCCTTTGTTGCTCTTCAAAGCTGCATCAAGGCAAATCCTAATGCATTTTCAAAGGACGTCCTGGATGACGATGATGATGTCAGGAAACAAGATGAAGTCAAGACGGAGGAAACACCAAAACAAGAATACAGAATCATCCCTCCTATTTGGTCTGTAGAATCAAAGAAGACTAAGCGTACTAAGCTCTAGAAGGCTGATCGTTAGCCTTCGTTCTTTTGTCCTTCCATTCTTGGAAACCCTGGTGGCACAATACTAATTACTACTACACTAACTAGCAGAGTATTGCCAGAAAAATCTTTTCCCTTGTGATTTACATGATCAATACTTTGAAGTTTATTAGTATGGAACTGCAGAGACTAGGCCAAAGCTTCTAGGAAAAGCTTAGATTGGTTCAAATTTTCATGTTATTACCAACTTTTCAGTGTTATGGATTGTTACTTCATGGAAAATTTCACTCCAAGTCTCTTTCTTTAACTTCTGCACAATGTAGAAATAGAAGTTTCAGCTTCAGAGTTGTAAATTAAGAGGTCCAGGGATTAAATGCCGATCCTAATTTTGAAGTTTATGGATTTTGAAATTTACTATGGTCCATATGTGAAATTTACATTTCATGCTAGATCCGCCCCTAGTGGGTAAGGTCCTTAATTATGAGTAGGCACAATACATAGACGTGTCATTTAATTTAAATCCACCCCTAATGGGTAAGGTTCTTCTCATTGCAATTTGGGCGGGATTCAAAGGAGTAAAAAGCCATTTGAATTTTGAATCAAACCTTTGCCCTTTTGCAAATCGAAAATCAGAAATCTTTTGTCACCTTCTTGACTGAATCTGCCGCAGAGAGAAATATGAAAAAAGCTACTCACTCTGTCAATTTATGTGACACTTTTCGAATTTCGAGATCCAAACAAATCTATCTTTATAGTAAGTTTTTCATACTTCTTTTAAAGATTTGAATTATCAGTTATTGTGATTTATGGACAAAGGGAGTAATAAGTTATCGAAGCTTGCACAAAATTTGAGAGGAGTGTCTGTCAATGGTGAAAGAGAGCTAAAGCTTTAGCCAAAAATGGAGGAGAAGAGCTGGCATTCAGAAAGGAGAAAATACCTAATTTGATTCTAAAAACTTGAGTGGGTTTGCTGGTGAATGAAACGTACATGCTTATACAAACCGAAAAAAGTGGACGACGTAATTATCACTGAATATTGATGGCGAGTAATAATTAACAAAAACTATAGCTATGATGACTAATTAACTAGTATATGTTTATTTAATCGCGTAATTAAGAATTTACAAAATAAAAATATCAATATTACAACTTAACGCTAATATAAAATATAAATTTATAATTAATTTAATAAATGCAAAACTTGAAATAAGGTGACGACAAATCAATTATTTATATATAAATAGATAACAGTAGAACATATAACTTTATTAGTAATTATAGAAATGCAACAACAAGCGATAACAATAGTAATGATAAATAGTGGTTGTAGTATAAATAGTTGTGAAAGATAATAATTTGATACGAAGTAGGGTCAAAATTGAGTGTCAACATATAAAATCAGACCGAACCGAACGGAGTATAAACACCTCTACCACGCCCTGGCCATGAAACTTACTACAAATAATTTACTTACTACTTTTAAATCACACAAAGATAATTTGGTTACTACTGCTAATCTAAAGCCATAATAAGGTGTTAGGGACTTTTATTAGTTGAAAAAATTAGAGTGTCATGCAGCTTGCAAGTGTGTAAAAAGAGCCACAAAAATGAAATGATTCACCTTCTTTAGACCAACTTCAAGAAGGCTTAACTTTCCCCTATATATACACATCAAAGTATGAACATGGTGTCATCAAGAAGTTGTAAAACATGGAAATAATGGAGGATAAAAGTGTAGTAATAGAAGAAAACAGCAATTACAAGGGAAAAGTATGTGTGACAGGTGCATCTGGTTTTGTAGCTTCATGGCTTATCAAAAGCCTTCTCTTGTCTGGTTACAATGTCATTGGCACAGTTAGAGATCCAGGTACATGAAACTACTCATACTCTTATTAGTAATGGCGGAGCCAGAAATTATAACAAAGAACTTAAAAAGATGCAAGTATTCCACACCCAAGGTTCAAACCTGTGACTTAAAGCAATTCTTGAAACGCCTACTAAAACTTCTCTTACGTCAAGGAGGTTCAACAATTTAAATATATACAAACACAATTGTTCTTTTACCTTATTTGCACAGTATAATTTTCCGAAGAGGGGAATTTAAGCGAGATCAAGAAGATTCAATGGAATATCTTGAATTTTATGTTGAATTGGCAGGTGGAGGTACATGTATCAATTTAGTGAATTTTTGTTCTGGTGAAATCAATTCAATAAAAGAAAAAAAAGCAATTCGAGTCAGTCAATTCCCTTTCATGAGGTTGAGGGAAGACCTTCCTGCCTTGTACAATTGAAGTGGAGGGTTCAAACTCTATCAGTTGTATAGCATCCCTTTTCCGTTCTCCTTCCCCTCGCCCGATGTAATTTAAAAGAAAGAACAAAAAAGAAACCCCTTCATTACATGTAGCTTTGCCCTGCCTACATCTGTATGATAAGGGTGTGAGTACTTGGAAATTATTCTAAATAATCTAAAGATTGGAGAAGGAAAAAGAAGCGAGATGTGTTTGTATATACCGGATAGTTACACACATCTATAAATGAATTCATGTAACATAGCTACTAGTAATGGAGATTTATATCTGTTTCATGGCATTGAAGTTTTTGTGTCAAAATCAGGGAACCAGAAGAAAGTAGGACATCTATGGAAGCTACAAGGAGCAAAAGAGAGACTTCGTCTGGTAAAGGCTAACCTAACAGATGAAGGCAGCTTTGATGATGCTATTATGGGCTGTGAAGGTGTTTTTCATACTGCCTCACCTGTCTTGGGAAAGGCTACTTTTGATGTCACGGTATCCAAAATATTTCTGTTTGTTTCATTTTATATGACAATATTTGACTAAACACGCTAGCTGTAGTACGTCAGACATTTCAAAACTTCTCAAAATGAAAAGAGTACCATATAAATTGAACAGAGGGAATCACCTTCAAGTAACTAATTGTCCTTGCTGCAGGTTGAAATCTTGAATCCTGCAGTTGATGGTACCTTAAATGTGCTCAGATCCTGCAAGAAAAATCCTAGACTGAGACGCGTGGTTTTGACCTCATCTTCTTCAACTGTAAGGGTAAGAGATGACATTGACCCTAACATACCCTTGGATGAATCATCTTGGAGCTCTGTTGAATTCTGCAAAAAGTTCGAGGTAAACACATATATTCTGCTTACATTCCAATTTGATATCATGGACTTGACGAGCACGAAGTTCAAAATATTGATCTGACTTCTATATAAGAAAAATATTGAGGTGGTAATTGAAAAGATAGTTTCACAGAGAACATATCACCACCTTAAACTTCAAAATTTTCTTGAATTTGGATTCTTGAAAATAGCATCAACACTTAGACACTTCCCAAAATAAGAAGAGTGCCATATCAATTCGGATGGTAAGTATAAACAATAATCTGATCATTTTACTCTGTGCATGCAAGATTTGGTATGTACTATCAAAGACACTGGCTGAGAAGGCTGCTTGGGAATTCTGTGAGCAAAACAACATTGATCTTGTGACACTACTCCCCTCTTTTATCATTGGGCCTAGTTTGCCTCCAGATTTGTGTTCAACAGCAGATGATGTCCTAGGTTTGCTTAAAGGAAAGACAGATAAGTTTGATTTCCATGGAAGGATGGGTTATGTTCACATAGATGACGTAGCTCTGTCCCATATACTTGTCTATGAGCATCCAAGTGCTCATGGGAGGTACCTTTGCAGCTCAAAGGTTCTCGACAACAATCAACTTGTCTCAGTTCTATCAGAACGCTATCCATCTTTACCTATTCCTAAAAGGTTAGTAGAATCCCGAGAAGAGGCAGAACCATTATATAAGCTGTGAGTGCATTTGCATCTATTGTCTGAAACTCAAGTTACATATTTGTAGTGGAAGATTTCATCAGAAATTGTCATTTGACACTGCTTTGCTAATATTTTAGAGAAACAATTGTATATATACAATAGGTTAGCTCCACTTCAAAATAACATAAAGTAAACATTAGTTTAGACTTTAGAACATGAAGTAACACCTTAAATGCCCTACAGCTGAAGTCTCAATTTCAAGTACAAGCCAAGTCTTACTAATAGGTTGATAACACTTGCACAAAATCCTGCATACATCACTGTATATATAGAAGTTAGAAAAGTGAACACTTTGTAATTATGCATGTCTGTCTGTGTGCACATATAGTAAAGAGGTGTTCTCCACTGCTTAAATATCTTGGATCTGTATCTGTTATTTCTGCTTGAAACAAATAATACAAACTAGAAAGAAAGGTAGTACCGTTTTGATGAAGATTCACATTCGCCAACTGCTATTTCAGGTTTAAGGAACTGGATCGACCTTCCTATGATTTCAACACATTGAAGCTGGAGGGTTTAGGAATGAAATTCAAGTCCATTGAAGAGATGTTTGATGATTGTGTCACATTCTTCAAAGAGGGAGGCCTTATTTCTTCCATCTAAGAAACAACATTTCTGCATAAACCTTAGATGTTTTATTTTTCTGTATCTGACTCATGTTCTGATCCTTCATTATCTATATCAATGATTACCTCATCACTATATTAGTAAAATGGAACTTGTCCTAGCATTAAAGCGTGACAGCCAATGTACTAAAATGCTGTTCCCAAAACCAAAAAATAAGTTAAAGCAACAAATGCCTCAACTGTCTCATCAGTTTTAAACAACACAAGTACATATTCTGGTACCTCGACTATTTCAATGGTATCACAGTCCACAATTTTTTTATCCGTGCTCGATACGGGCAAGATAAGCAAACCTTAAGGAGACGGACGGAGTTGAGCAAAGCAGTATCCCATTATAACAAGCTGAAAAGACTAGCTTCAAAAGACACAGATGACATAACACCTACTAAATATAAGCATAATTCACCCAAGGCCCTTCCCACTTATGAATGGATTTTTCAGGTGACGAAAATGAAGAGCAATGGAGACTTGAAAGATCTAATTTTCCAAGACAATGTATTTATAGATTTCTTGCTACAGACATTGGTACTTTCAACTCAAACACTAACATAAACAGTTCCAGATTACTCTTTATGTTTCAAGAACGGTATGCCCTGGACATAAACTTTGATTTACGAAGTCTCTACTCAGATTAAATGAAACATAGAACAGAAGAAAGTGATTTACTGAAATAAGAAAAAGGAAAGATTGATTTACTAATTATTAAACTAACTGCATCAATCAGCACTCAGAACAAGTTTACTATATATCTTGCTACTGAAAGCAACCTTCAAAGCTCTTCAGGCACTTGAAATTTGTTTAAGGTGATTGGTTGATCTGATAATTCCTCATTAGACTAGATTACACTTGTTACTGTTTCCTAACAAAGAAAAATATTAAAGGGTCTGGCAAATTATATACATTATTTTTCCCTCTTTGGGGTATACTTACCAATATTCTTATCACAATGGTTGGAAAATTTGAGTTTCCTTTCTTCTCTTTTTGGTATACATAGCATCACCAAGGTTAGTATTTTTTTAATTTTTAGATAAGTACTTGCATGTTTTACAATTGCTTCTCTTTCACTGTGACCGCAAAGGAGTATTTGAAGCACTGCCCGAAAGCTTGGTACACAGATAAGGAAAGAGAATAATACTGGTGCTGGTGTTGCTTAGCATATACTGTAATAAAACAGCCACACACACAGTCTATATATAAAATTTCATAAAACAACAAATACTTGTCCTTTGCAGAATCCAAATGAAAATTATCTATGCTTCTAGCATTGTAAAACAGAAGTTTATGACCGCTCAAAATATTAGAGCATAATTCTCCCATGATAGCAATGTTTAGAAATAGTTGCAAGTATAATACACATAACAACTAGCTAAAATGGAAAATGATGAAACACTGGCCTTTAGAGCAGATGATGATTGAAACTTTCACTTTCATCATAAATTGAACCGGCTACATTTATAAGCTACCAAGATGTATAACATTAGAAATTTCTCACTTGAAACAACACTAGATCAAATCAGACAATAAAAGGAAAAAGAACACATTGTTGTATTCACTATCTAGTAAGAACAAAAATGGAAACACTTCATCCAAATTTACCTATGCGTCAACTCCTTACGTGAACTTCTAGCTCGAAAAATCTTTCGAAGAGCCAAGATCTCACTTTCTCTACTTCTTTTTCTTCTCAGTGTTTTGCACTTGATCAGGCAAATCCTCATAAACAGGCAATGCCAATGAATCACTAAACTTCAAATGAAAAGCTCTAATACCATTCAATTTCTTAGGAACAAACTCAATAATTCCATCAATGGCAGCTAAAACATTCTCCATAACTTCACCACTCTCCATCCCTCCTCTCCCAATCTTCAAAACACTACATGTTCCACTCCCTAAACATAACAAAGTCGACGAACACGCTCTTTCTATCTCCTCCTTCCAATTACTATTCCCCCTCAAATCAACTGGCACAGGTACTTTCCTCTTCTTCTTGTAAAATTGCTTCCCTAATAAACCTGGAAGCAAATTCATCACTCTTTTATCAGCCAAAAAAAGTTCATATGAACCGTACAAATCCAGCTTCGAATCAAAAGATTTGTACTCAGACTTCAACTTGGTAAACTTCAAAACTTTTGTAATTGAAATTCCTTCAGATTTCAGCTTTTTCTGCACTGTTTCAACATCAAGTTTGGTTTTTGAGTTGTGGGGTTTTCTGGGTCTGTCGTCAATGATGAGACAAATATTAGCGAAAGATTCAAGTGGGTGGAAAAAGGGGTTGGGGAGGATGATTTTGTGAGGGGTTGTGAGTTCTTTTGGAGGGATTTTCTTCAGAGTTAATTGAAGATAGATGAAATTATCATCTACTACTTCATCTTCTTCGTTTTCTTCTTCATCTGATAGTGAATTGAGGTTTTGGGGTTCATGGGTTTTCTTGGATTGAAGCTTTTTCCATTTGAGAAGAGCTTTTACTGCTTTGCGAACTTGGTCTTCATTGATTTTCGCCATTGCTGTGGAAGCCATTGTTGCTGAGTTAAAGAAAAAAATTGGTATTATAGAATGGTGACGGCGGCGACTGTGAATAAAAGGTTTTAATTACATTTTTGGTCCATAAGGTTTGGAAAAGGTGATAATATTGCCCTACAATTTTATAGATTTTGTATTAGAATCCTATTCTTTTGATTTCCATGCATTGGAGTCCGACTAGGTTTCACGTTGCGTAAAGGTCCATTTGAAAGAAGTTTCTCTATCGAGGATATATCCTTGCCCGACTATTAGAATCCTATTTATCTACATATATTGTAAAATTTAGAGCGTTAATCTAGAAAAGTTAAAAGATTAGTTCAATTTGTTTGTGTATTATTATTATTAAAAATTTAAGTTTAAGATGCATCTTGAGATGATATTGACTTAAGAAAATGTCGAGGTTCAACGAGGAAAGACTTATAGTGGATATTTAGGCATTTGGATATGATAAAAGACATCATAATCGATGAAATATGTTGAAAATAATCATATATTTAAAGATTTTCAATTAGAGAACTTTTCAAACTAATTTTAAATTCATGAAAATATAAGAGATAACTTGACAAATTGAATTATTTTAGTAGTGAGATACAAAAAAAAGTGTTGTTATCAACAATATTGTGTATAAACTTAAGTAAGCCAACAAAAGAACAAACTTACAAGTCTCGCTTTAAAAAAATTAATCATATTATGTTTAATCCGCATAAAAGACATGACGACTTACAACTTTCTCAAATAGAGGTTGGTGAAATTGATGTCTATACATATGTGAATTACGTGCACATGACCAAAAAGGTCCTATAAAGCTTCACATGTTCATTATTCTAAATTATTATGACATTCATTAACTTTTACAATGTTTTAATTGTTCTAAAAAATTGTTTTACAATATTCAATTAACTTTCATGATATTCGAGATTCAAATCAATTTACCTAATCAAATCGCAAAAATACTCTAAGGTTTATTAATTGAATTGATTTCTAAAACTAATGTAACATAAAAATTAAAAACTAAGTTAATTTTACTAAATTCATGTTTATGGGACTAGACATGGAACCATGCAGTCTCAAACTTGATTCGATTAGATTTACTTGTATTTAATTAGATTGACACAATACTATAATAATCAAACCTTATTTATGCTCAACTATATTTTCATTCAAAGCTCAATTTGATTCGAGTTATCTTAATTAATCCACTTAAATTATTATATATAGTAATTATCAATTTAAAAAATAAATTCGTCGATCAAAAAGGTTCTTATACGACGTCGTTTTGGTCATTCCATCGCTTTTCCTTCTCTTCTTCACAAAAAATACAACTTCTCAGATTTTTACTCAAACGCCGTCATCGAAGTTACAGACATGGGTTTCGGAGCCCTAAGATCCATCATCCGACCCGTTTCACGAGCACTCTTATCGACCCGAACCGTATCCTCCTTCGCTCCGATCAGTTCTCCAGCGAACAGCATCTGTCCGGCACCGGAGCTCCGTCATTTGTTCAACACTTTCCGACCTAGGCTTCCATGGATTCCACCCTCCAGTGCTTTTCACAGCTTGACTGACACTCGATTCCCTAAGCGAAGACACAGTGACAAGCCTAAACGTAAAAGAGCTAGCTTGAGACCTCCAGGTTAATCTTCATTTACGGTTATAATCATATTTTATGGTAGTTGAATTAGCAACCCAGGGTTTAAGGGTTTAAGCCATTTTCAGATTTGGGCATTTCGTTATGCAAATTATGATGTTTGTAGGTGCTTTTGGTATAGATGAATGTCTTTTTACATAGAAAGTGTCTTCCATAGGAAATATTGTAGCTTGGGAAATCATTTTCTAGTGTTTAGTTGGAATTCTAAATCCTACAAGGTGGAGGATTCGACATGTGGATGGTGTTTGATTATACGTTTGGGCCATAGATTTTGAAGTTGAAGCTTGAACAATTTGAAAATTTGATTTTTTCAAAGTTGTGATTTTTGGAATTCGAAGTTGTATTTGGATATGCATTTTACTTGGAAAAAGTCTTAAGTATTGTTAGTGGAAGTCACCAAAAAGAAAAAAAAAACTAGTCTTAGCTGGGAACTTGAAAATATTTGAAAATCATATTTAAATTTTCAAATTCTGACAAAATTTCATGGCCAAATAGATGTTTGAAAATAAAATTTCAAAATCTATGGCCAACGCTAGGGTATGTTTAGGATTTTTACCATCTTTTGGATTATGACAGAATGAAAAGAAGTTAGTAGTGTTTTTTTTTTCTTTTGGAATTTAGGTCCGTATGCGTGGGTAAAATATACCCCAGGTGAACCTATAAGTCCAAACAATCCCAATGAAGGAAGTCTCAAGCGGAGGAATGAGAAAAAGAGAATCGGCCAGCGGAAGGCATTTATATTGGTATGTCACCACAACTTTTGATTCCCTTTATCCTTTTTGATGATGAGTCTCTTTTGGTTCTTGAGAAGAATGTCTTTTTCTCATCATAAGTAGATAATTGGAATATTTTAAGACGTGCTTGTGAAGATTTAGACACTGGATATTAGGATTGAACTTAATATGCAAAGGGCCGTTCATATGCTATTTTCTGACTTCTGATGGTAAACTGATGTGATATTGTGTCAATACTGCAAATTCAAAATTTTCTTTATAGTTTTAGGTTAAAAAAAAAATATATCTTTATAGTTTGAGGATCAGAACTAAATCTTTGGTAGGTGTGGTTCCTGTACTTGTATTATTCTGTTTTTTTTAAAAAAAAAGCTTTTACGCCATGCATATTATTGAATTTCCCTTTTTAAACTCAACTGATTCTCCTCTATTCTTACTTGAGAGTATTCGTGCCCCTCTGGCTGTCATTTTTCACAAGTAAATTCTGTTGTCTGTAACCTCAATAAACACCAACTTCCTAGATACTGCATGCACTGCTGACTTCCCTACTTTGGACTCAGCAACTTTTAAGCTTGTTTGTCATCTGTGGTTCAGATGTCACCGATGGTGACTAAATATTACATTCCACGTCCACTCTACGAGTTGATCACCAAAGTTAGAAGAGTTTTCTTTGCATACATAGTATATATTTTGAGTTGAAATCAAGTGCTCGTTCATCAATGCATTTGCTTGGTGACCATGCTTTCCAAGTTCCATGACTGATACAGTTAAAATGAGACTATCCTACTTTGCCTTGTCTTGGCTGCCTGTATCCCAAAGCATAAAAAAAATCACATAAGCCAAAATAAGTTAAAGAAACAGTAAACAGCCATTCACAGATTTATCCAATAAGCATAGCAAAGCAAGTTGCTAACACTAAACTGAATCAGCAAATTAAGCCTTGGATCTCTCTGCTAAAACTTAGGACTTAGAGAGTTTGATGTATCCTAGTCATGATTGTATTTTGTAGCTCCAAGCATATTAACCAGTTTGAAAGAAATAACCAACTACAAGAACACCTTCTTTACTTATCAATGCACTATCTATTTGATATAGATATATGCTGCACTCTCTCCTTGGCCCGAAAATACCCACTCACATGTTAATGGGGCCTACTTTCATGTTCCGAAGATCTATCTTCATTTACAAATGAATGTTATTGTGGCCTACTTTCATGTTTTGAGGACCCATCTTCTCATACAAAACCTTTTTTTCCCTCACAGTTGTCATTGAATTCTCTTGACTGGGATAAGTGGTGGCAAATGGGCGGGTTTGGGCTGGTTGAAAATGAGTTAAATAAGAACAGCTCCGGTAGTAGAGAATTGGCTGGGTAAAAAAGGGTCCTGACCCATTTTTATCTCCTAGAGCTGTAAGCTCACTGAAGTTTCACTTTAGCAACAAATTAAATATCTCAGATATATACAGTTCTCAAATAAACCAGTGTTATCAAAGGCGCGCCTTAAGCGCGCTTAAGCCCTAAAGCGAGGCTCAAAACGTGTTAAGCGCTTCGCCTCGCTTTATGTGCGCTTCAGTGCCGTCATCAAAGTTCTAAGACAAACTTTTCCTTGTCAATGAGCCTCTTATGAAGAAGTGACACTAAACAATTGATATTTCACTTTATCATTAAAAAAATTCAATTTCTTTGGTCATATATTTGTCATTCATGTTTATAATTATTAGTTTTGGACTAAACATACACATTTTATTTTTTTCTCCCTTTGCGCCTTTTTTCATTAAAGCCCACGCTTTATTTGCACTTTGCGCTTAAAGCCCGCATGGACCTTAGAGCTTTTTTGCGCTTTTCGCTTTTAATAACACTGAAATAAACTAGTAAAAGCTGTCTCCAAAAAAAATTCACCGTGCTGCTTGCAATGGATAAAGAGAAACAAAGAAATATCCAGGATTTTGACAAATATTTTGAATAACTGACTTACTAAATTTTAAAATTGCATGATCCAATCAAGTAACTGAATTTTAGAATATTGAAGTTCTCTTCAATACGTTCCTTACAGTGACATATCATGTGTTCTCTAGAAGGAGGAAACCCTCTAGAAAATGTATGTGGCTAACCCCTTTTTACTCATCTAAAGTATTACTTATCCAACTCATTGAACTCTGGGCGGGTTCGCAAAATATGAGCTCATTTTTTCAGCATTAGTTTGGATCAAGCATTAAAGCTGGCATTTTAAAGGTCCAGTACTCTTCTCTTATCCTGGTTTTGTACTGTTTGAGTCATTGTACATATCATTCTTCGTATGGCCATTGAAAGACCGAAGAACTTTCTTTCAAGTACTTCGGCAATTCACTCCATTCCTTGAATTAGTAAATTTGAGTTTTATTCATGCACAGGCTGAGAAGAAGAAACGTAAAGCTCAGATGCAGGAGGCAAACCGGAAGAAAATGATTAAGCGAGTAGAGCGTAAGATGGCTGCAGTTGCTAGGGATAGAGCATGGACAGAAAGACTGGAAGAATTGAAGAAGCTCGAGGAAGAAAAGAAGGCAGCCACAGCTTGATTATCGTTGTCGGGAAGCAATGTTTCAACCTGCTAAATTTCTCTCTTGTTTTTGAGAGTGAAAACTTTCAATCCCTTCTTTAAAATAGGAACATTTTTTCTGCTGTCATGTTTTTCTTGAGGTTGATATTTAAATTTCCTTTTCGTTTGTTTTGTTAGTCTTTTTTCAAAAAAAATAAATTAGATTTTGAAGTTGAAAGGTAAGTTGCATAAACTATCCAGACAAAAAGCCAACCTTTTTGAAATGTGTCATGACGTTTTCTCATAGAGCTTAAATGACGAAATGAGGATTCATATAGTCTATCCTAATTTATTTCGGATTCATATAGCCGACCTTATTCGAATGTGTTGTGATGCTTGACTGATTATGATTTGATTCCACTAAACGATGGTTGAAGAATTGGTTCAAAACACTTCAAACTCAACTGTTTTACATGCATTGGTTCCAAATATGGTTAGTGTCAATTCTAAATTATATTCCACTATCCAAAGAATAGCTTCAAGGATTGAAGTTAAAGAGATTAAACTTGTGAATAATTTTTACTATTTATAACACAAAAAAGACTCACTTGAAAATCAGTATTTGGTCAATGACTCATGAATGAAGTTATACGGGGTGAGATAGGGGTGGCCTTCGTCGCAAACATGGTGAGAGGATGAGATGGTTTGGACTTTGGATATGCGAAGAAAAAGTGTGTGGATGCGTGCGTCTATAAGAAGGGGTGAGAGATAGATTGTAACAAGAGTTACGAGAGGTAGAAGTAGGTTGAAACAACTTCAGCTTTCAAAAGACATGATTCTACGGTAAAACCTAATTAATACTCATTGAATTAATAATTTTTCTAAGAAAATATTTTCTTTCGGTCCACTAAATTAATACTCAATAAATTAATAATTTATCTAAGATAATATTTTCTTTCGGTCCTGACTTGGGCCAATGGAAAAAATCACTCATTTTCGATAAAATAATATATTTTCAGAAGACCTCAGTATAAATATATGGCCCCATTAAAAATATAAATTAATATTTTTTTAAAAGTACAAATATATCTAAGATAATTTAGTGAAATATAATTCTATTGTGTTTTACTTCTTGTTATAATTTAAATCTAGTTCAAGCTCATCTTTAATTTTTCTTATTGCATCCAAAAATTTTGGTGTTGCCACGACTGCAAATACTTTTAATTGCGATCTCTTTTGTACTCACATAATGTTTTACGTATTTGATCTATCGTTGATGATTTTGTGGCACTTTTTAAATGAGAAGTCATTTTCAGATATGGATTTAAAAAAAAAATCTATGTTGCTTATGTAGTTAATTCTCTCACTATCATACATTGATTTAATAAGATATGAATAATATTTGATTGTTATGAAACATTGAACAATATGTATAATGAATTTATTTTTATAATGAATCATTATGTTTATTTTACAATATATCATTTAACCAAAAAAAAAAATATAGTGAATCATACACGTATATCGTAATTTATGTATAATAAATTTATTTTTTATATGAATTCCATATATATGATAAATAATTTAATAAGATGTAATGGTTTGGATGTATTCATTGTACTTTATGTATAATAATTTTTTTATATGAATTCAATAAAATGATACATAAATTAGTAAGGTACAATGATTTTGATTTAATCAAAATTAACCTTCATTGAATCTCAAAACACTTTTTAAATTAATAAATATTACTTTATCGATTAAATAATACCTCTACAAAATAATAATATTTCATGGTCTCACTTATATTAATTTAGTGAGGTTTTATTGTAGATAGGAAGATTTGGAGGTTGGGATTACGATAGAAGACTAGCAAGTATTTGAGTGTTGTCGAACATTGTGTAGTAGAGGTTACATAGTCTCTTATTCTTGAATGTGCATTATTTTACCTATTTCTTTGTGTTTTGCTATTTTGTTGTCATGTTATTCTTACAATCTTGAACCAAGGGTCTAGGGATAAGGAGTACATACAGTATACTCTTTTCTGACCCCACTCAGAGGCGTAGCTATAACCACACAAGAGTGTGTATATATATATATATATATATGTCAAATTCATTCCCAGCTACACACGTAAATTTTACGGGAGTCCTATCACCCTCTCAAACTATTTAAAACTGAAATTATCATCTCCCTAAACGCTTATGTGGTAAAGTGAGTGTAATTCACTCTCCTTGAAAGAGTGAGCACCAAAATCAAATAGTAAACTTTTATTTTTAATATTTCTTTTCAGAATACTTGTATTTATAATTATTCTTTCTTCTTTGTTTGTTTCTTTCTTTTTCATTACAACATAGATCAAATTCCACCACTCACCATCTCTAAATCGCCACCGCCAGGGGCGGATCTACATGGAGGTTAGGGGGTTCACCCAAACCCCCTTTGTCGAAAAATTACACTGTATATATAAGGTCAATTTTGTTTTCATGTGTATATATATAAGAATGAACCCCCTCAACACATGTAAATAGGCTAGCTCAATGGTTAAGGAGGTTCAAGAATTCGCCTTGCCATCTTGGGATCGATTTCGCGCAGCAACACTTGATTTTTTTTGTTTTCTTCATTTGAAAAATTAAATAGCAAGGCTGAGATGGGCTCAACATTTTTGGGGGTATTTGTTTACCCCCTAATTTAATTTGAAGTGAATTTAATTTCCCCTTAAAAGGTGCGTGGCAAAATTTGTATCACCAACTTTCTATAAGCACGTGAGACAGAAAATAAACCAAAAAACTGACACATGTCATCTTTTTATTGGACGACATATTTAATAACTTATTTTACTAATTTTTAAACATTTTATTTTTCAATTAACTTCTCTTCTCTGTAGTTTTTTTTTTTTTTTTTGCATCTTCTTCTTCCTTTCTTTTTCTTTTCTCAAGACTCTATCTCTTTCTTATTCTTTTCATTCAGTTCAAGGTAAACATTTACTCATTTACTCCCAACTGTAACTTTTTCCACATTTTTTCTTCTTCTTTTCTTTTCTGTTTTTAATCGCTTCTTTTTCTGTTTTTCTTTGACAAAAATTTTTGGTGTTTGATTCATTGACACCATTTTCGACATAAAAAAAGATTATTAGATCTATGAGTTTAAAGAGTTACCAAAAAAAGAACCCGATTTCAACTAAAAAAAATTCAAAGATATTGTTGGCAAAAAATTGATTGTGGAGATTTCGTCCAATTCATTGATAAATTAACATTTTTATGTAAATAATTTTTTAAATTTTCAAGGAAGGTGGTATGATGTAACTAAAAACTGAACTGGAATTGCAATTGAAATTTGAATTATAATTTGTAGATTGAGGGGTAAATTCATCGATGAGTTTAGTTTTTGGCTCTATTTTAGATATAATCATGTGGGTGTAGGAATTGTTGGTTTAATGTGGAAATTGATGTCTACAAATGGAATATTGAAACCTATTTTCTTACGAAAAGAAAGAAAATTGGAGAAGTTTTTTTTATTTTTACATAAAGAGAAAATTATTATATAATGGAAGAAGAAAAGTAGAAGAAAATTGCACTGTAAAAAGAAGAGTTGTTGTTGAGAAGGTGACAAACATTGGGGAAGACAATTAGTGATGAAAAAAAAATTATTATGGAGATTTCAGTAATTAATTAGAAATTTAGTTAATATACACGTGGACGAATAAAAACGCTAGTGACTCAACAACACCTATCCTTCAACTAGGCTACTGATGGGAGGGTTGAAAAAAAACACTTAAAAGATGTTAAGGGGGTTATTTAAACACCCATATAGTTAAAGTGCTAAAGTAAGTTATGCGGACAAGTTCAGGGAGGATTTTATGTCTTTTCCCTATTTTTTTTCATCTTTTTTAATGTTATTTCTCCTTTTCAATATTCATTTGTTCAAATTTATTAGGCACATTATTTTTATTTTTTGTATTTTATTCTTTTTATCTCTATTGCTCATTTTGTTTTTATGTAACTCTCTTTTTACATACTAGTTCGAAGGAACTTTTTAAGAAACTGTCAATTATTCTTATACTTGAAATTGAGATAGAGAAAAAAATATTTTAAAGATAAGTTAAACTAAACTTAATATAAATTTGAAAGGCATGATTATTCATGATAATTCTTTCTCATTTTTTCAGTTCTATTCTAGAGAGATGTAAACTACATTTATTTGATTTATTCGTTTTTTACCGATGGAAAACCTTATAAATTGAATAAATGAAAAAATCGGTGATGCCATTTATTTATCCTTTTAATATGCATTATAATATTAGTAATTCAATTTCCACACATTTTTAAAGAGTCTTAAACAGTTTTTAAAGTAACATATGATTGAATGAACACTAATTTAATTTATTTTAAAAATTCAAAATAAAGTAAAACAATAAAAAATAAAAGAAAAAAATCACTTTTTTTTAAAAAAAAAAGAATCAATGAAGAAGGGTAAAAGTAGGAAGAAACGTTAAACGCGGCATTACAAGGCAAGTTAAATTTAACGGATTAAGGATAATTTTTTTCTTCCTGATCTATTTTGCTCCATTTTTTTTATTTACTTTTTTATATATTGAGCCCCCTCCACGAAAATCCTGGCTCCACCACTGGCCACCGCCACTATTTTCTCCATTGTCACTGTCACTACCATCTCCACATAATTGACAATGAAATTTTAGTATTCCTCTTAATTCTTGAATTTGTATTTTTCAATCTGTGCATGAAATTAGAAAATTTTGAAAGTCAATTCCTTATTGATATTATTGGAGTTGTTAATCATCACTTTACATGTTAACCCACAAGGCCGATTAGGTTGGAAATTCATATCTTGATAATTCGATGCCTCAATTTGGTAATTTTATTTCAAACCCTTATACGCTTTTTTATTAGTTTCATATGATTGTTGTCTATGGTTTAACGTTGGTCCGTTTTTATCTTAATTAATTTGTTAATTTACTCAATAGTTAAAATTGGCCAATGAAAAAATCTTTCCGTCAGTTTTGGAGGTCTCTCCAATGTTAAAAGATGGAAATTTAGTTAAGTTTATATTATTTACTTGTTAAAAATTGACCGATGAAGAAATACCGTCGATTTCTAAGGCCTTTCATGTTAATAAGACGGGTTTTTATTGTTAAGTTATTATTTGTTTTATTCATTACTAATACTTTTACTAAATGTCTTTACAGGTACACGGAGTTGCTTCCCATTGAAGTTATTCGAATGAAGGTCGAATTATATTC